AGGATTTCTGTAGTGACTTATTCCTCCTGTGGTATTCAGGCATCCTTTGGGGAATTTCTAGATGGGATACATACATGTACATGAAACTGTGTATGTATTTAATAAAACTTCTTGAAAGAAAGGAAGGGAGGGAGGGAGGGCAGGAAACAGGAAGGAAACAAGTAAGTCCATGAGACAAAAGTAACTCACTTCTAAAAATTATCATTAAACCTTCTGAAATGTCATCATACCTTTAATACGTACCAGGTCAGGGATTATTTTTCAGATTGGGTACCTGCTCTCCAAACACTAAATGAGCTCATGAGATAGACCAAGACAGTGGTCTCATGCTTCTTACCTCCATTCCCAGCACACTCACTCTCTCGGACTTTATCTTTCTCTGTCTGGGACAAACCTGGGAAGCTTCCAGGATACACTGGAAGCTCTCCCATACCATCCTTTTCTCAGTTCATCCTGCCTCTTCTGCCCCTCACCCGACTGTCCAATGCTCCAGTCATCCATTCATCTCTTCCCTCGCAAGCCAACGATGTGTGTCAGTACTAGATACATATGTGTGTGGATGTAACAAGACATAGGAATAGCACTAACACTTTACTTCCCCAGTGTCCACTGCCACCTCTATTCCTAGTCCAAGATGCACAGGACAGGGAGAAGCTACAATGGTGAGATACAATGGCACCTTTTGAATATAAGACAGCTACCCAGGGCTTCCCTGGTGGCGCAGTGGTTGAGAGTCCACCTGCCGATGCAGGGGACGCGGGTTTGTGCCCTGGTCCGGGAAGATCCCACATGCCACGGAGCGGCTGGGCCCGTGAGCCATGGCCGCTGAGCCTGCGCGTCCAGAGCCTGTGCTCCGCAATGGGAGAGGCCACGGCTGTGAGAGGTCTGCGTACCGCCAAAAAAAAAAAAAAAAGAAAGATAGCTACCCACTGAATTCACCATCCCTTACCTCTACTAAGAGGTGGTGAAACACACTGGAAAGAACAAAACCTTTAAAGTCAAGGACTATGTCCTGTTGAAGGTCTGGCTCTGCATGTATTGGCCCTGATCTTGGGCAACTCATTTCTCTGATCCTCAGAGCCCCAAACTAATAAATGAAGATGACACCTGACATACAGGTCTTTTATAAGATAACACATGTGAAAACCACTTTGTGTACAACGAATGAATGCCATTCACCTTATTTTACCATGCTTTCTGTTCTCTGTATTTCTTGGTATGGACTTGGACATAACTTTAAAACTCTTTAAGCCTCAGTTTCCTCAACTGTAAAACAGGGATAGTATCTTGAGTTATTTTGAGAATCAAATGTTATAAGTATAAAGTACCTACCACAGCTTAGTAAACAATGGTTATTATGATTAATAAAGTAGTACATACATACTAGTTATTTTGACTATGACTACAGAAAGTTTGGTCCTATCTAAGCTCTTCAAGGTTGTTAAGTTTTCAAATAGGCATCGCCTCTTGCATCAGCAAAAAAAAAAGCAGTCTTTCACATTTGTGTCATTACAGAGGCATGTGATGGATATGAGCTGGAGCAGGAGAGAATGAGACACACGGCATAAGTGGATGAAAGGCACAAAGAGAAGAAGAGCTCAACACTTTCTGGGACCTGATGATTCATACTAAAATGCATTTTAAAGACAACAATTATGGGGAACTTAGGTGAAGTCCAAACCCTATATTTAAAAATTTTTCATTAGTAAAAATTAAATGTCTTCGTTGACTCTCCTACTGAAATCAACAAAACAAAAATCCAGGCATTCCTGGAGTCCTTGAAGTGGACAGTCGTGGATTCTGGCCCACACCAATCATTAACCACTCAGTTTCCAGTACAGCCTGTCCTGGGCTGCCCACAATATGACAAAGGGCAACTTTGATATCCCAGGATACATTTTGGGCAGTTTGGTTTTAACTGCTTTCACCCTCTGCTTACATCACATTCCCCTCTAGACACCAGTCATTTCCAAAGGCGTTGCTTCTAAGTTAGATCCTTTTCTCTTTCCTTCTGAGGGCATGAGGATAAGAAAGTAGTAGATGTGGTTTTTAGTTAACATATAAGTATTGATGGGTTTCTGCTAATCCAATTTTCCTCTTATTACCAAACCCTCTAAATTTTCACTTCTCGAAACAAACCAGTAATGTGTACGTGTGTCTATCAAAGAACAGTGATAATAAGGCAGGAGGGGATATTAAAAGAAAGAGAATACTAACAAGGATGATCAGGACACAAAAAAGAAGAGAGAATAAAAAATATTTCTGACCAAATATGAAATGTTTGCTAGTAAGCCATAAATCCCAAGCCCTCAACGCCCCTTCAAGATTTCCCAGGAGACCAGAACCCACATCCTGAGAATGATGTCGGTGATGATTAGAAGGAAGGAAAGACTAAGGAAGAAACTCAAGCCACCTTAGTTTTAAAGACTGACAGAATAAGGGACAAGAGACCACAGCTTTTCACAACCTAACCACGGAACTGAAAAAAATCAGGTTCCTTGGTGCTTCTTCTACTATATGAAGGTGGAACATCTGTATCCTGGGAGAGGTAGGATCCATTCCAAATGCTTAAGATCCCTGTAAGCAGGGAAAGTATCCGTCTCGTTCACTATTTCGTCCCACCCTCTAGGAAGCACCTGGCACTCTGGACATGCTCACTGAACACTCAAATGATTCCCCATCACTTGACTTCTTTGGGCCCCATCATACTCACCTATAAAATGAGGTGGTTGGGCCTGGTCATTTCTAAGGCCCTTTTGGCTGTAATGTCTATGGTTCTGGGATTCCGTTCAGCTGACATTACAGTGTGACCAAACCCACCCTTCACACCTAGGTCGTCTTCATTTAACAGACAAAGGAAGCATGGGACACAGTCTGACCATCCCCAGCTCTCTGCTACCAATCTTAGTTTCACTTGTCCTTTGTTTATTAGTGGCCAATAGTTAATCATTTTCAAATCCCAGGTACCTGCTTTCACTTGAATTGAGTTTAATTTATACATGGCTATGTTATCACTTTCTGCTGTAGTTCAAACTGGCTGCGCTCCAGCTTTGGATTTCAAAGGAGAACGTGATTAACGCATTCCCTACAACTCCACTGGACTCTCAAGGTTCTCCACTGGCCTCCTAACCATTAATCCCACATCTCTCCAGACTGTTAGGCTACCTAACGAGGCCTCCCTACAACACAGGCATCCAATCCGCTAGCCAGGCAATATAAACACAAACCTATATAAAGCAGATTATTCCCCAAATTTAACTGGATGAGAATTAGCACAAAGACTTAGTAGTCTTACAGAACTGCTACCTGCTCTCAAGAATTTCTCCATGTACGAGAACTAATAACGTTCACTCTAAGGAATTAAGGACTTCGTGTATCTCCCCTCTCAGAAGTCATTTAAAAGTTTTTAAAAAATTATTTGGAAACAATTTCAAACTTCCAGAAAAGTTGAAAGAATAAGAATAGCACAACGGACACCAATACATCCTCTTTACCCAGATTTACCTATTGTTAACATTTTACTCCGTTTTCCATTTGAGTCTGAGCTTGCTTTCACATGCACACATTTGTGCGCCCTATAGATACTCCCCTCCCCCCGAAACAATTAATGGTAAGCTGCATTTATATCATGGCCCTTTACCCCCAAAGAAGAAGCAATTACATTTTAAAATAGAATATAAGGAAAATAGAATATTGTACAGATGTTTTAAGTCCCCAGTGATAGACTTTCAAGAATGGCAATGAACAGCGTGGGAGATTTGCTCAGGGTGAGGCTTTCTACTATTCCTAGAGAGTCAACCCACTGTATTCCTGGGATCAGCCTTGATCCCAGGCCAAGAGCAAACACACACGCACGCGTGCGCGCGCGCACACACACACACCCCTCCATTTTATTTTAGAAGGAAAAAGAAGCCTTGAAATGAAACAGGTACGGTGACAACCGCCAGCTTCTGTTTTTCTCCAGGTAAAGCACAGGGTGATACGGTTGGTCATTCTGTTCTCAAGAGAGAATTCTGCTCCCCCAGGACAAAGCTACAGAGGCGGCCCACTTTCAGAAACACCTCTTCTGCTTATAAGCTCACAAAAATGTTTCTGTTTGAACTAAAAACATAACCACATAAAGTCCCTCTACAACACAAGAAAGGGCTACTCACTACCTTTCTAGTTTTGATAAACCTCAGAAGGCAACAATTACCATCTGCTGGGGATGGTGCACCGGATACTCAGGCCACCTCCGCTGTTCCCTAACACCAACTTGTCCCTTGGTTTCCAAGACCTGCACCACAAGAGTGGGTTGCAGGTGAGGCGGAATAAGCAGCGTGAAGCCACTCCATTATTATCACGCTGCAAATAAATAGCTCTTCTGCCTTTGGCAGTAAAGCATTTTGCATACTTGGTAATTACCGTTAATAAACTTTTTAATATGTGATTGCATCCCCTGGAGAAATAGAGGCTTTCTTATTGAAATTACTTTCTTAAAATCCCTTCCTTAGAGCATCTACAAAATCAAGAAAGTAGAGTAGAAAAGAAAGAATTTTGTTAGGTATAAAAAATTTTTTTTAATTAGCACACACTTGAAAACTAAGACACAAATGCAGCGGACACCCGGTACTAAGAGCACGCATAGTTCTCTGCACACCCCACAAAGACCAGACACATTTAAATCAACAAGACACTTTATTGTCAAGGTAACACCAAGGTAACTGAGCAAATGAATCCGAAACATTTACCTTGTACTAAACTCCCCCCTTTTTTTTAAAGGAATAGCGCATGCACAATACAGCACAAAGGAAGCTTTAAAGTGAAAGGAACACAAGAAGGATGAGTAGGTTTACCTTAGAAGTCTATCTATAAAATATTTATATTATAAGAGTTTTATAAAGACATGTATAAACATGCACTTATCAGAAAGAGTCTTGCAAAGCAACGAGGAAAAGAAAGGTAAGAATAGGAAGATGCCTGGCTTGGCTCCGGGGGTAGTAAAAGATCGTGTGATCTACCTTGTTTGGACGCCCTCCGTCGAATCTTCATTTTGGGGAAGGAAGGCCACGAGTAGTTAAAAGGTGAGTCCGAGTCAGAATCCATCTTTTTGTCTCGATGAAATCAACAGATTCAACAGCAGAGACTCAGGAAGAACTCGGACATCCCCAGCCAGGAGGCGAGTCTCCCGTGTGATGTAAAAGGAAGGAATGGGGCTGGGTGAAAGCTGCGAACACCGGGAGGGAGAGGCAATAAATGTTTTGCTTCCTTCAGGCGTTCAGGCATGTAGACCACGAAGGAGGCTATAAATATGCAAGCCAAACTGGGAAAGTAAAAGGAGGCGAGCACAGCAGCTCAGAGTGGTACTGGTACACCGCAGTCCAGTTATTCAAAAGGTCACTGGGAGCAAATGAATCATTAACTCTCTTCTCGTTGCTGGAAATGGAAATGAAGAAGAAAGGTAACTGCCAATTGAAAGAGAGCTGCCTGAGACTCAAGAAAACCCTCCCAATGCAGACGCCTGTTTTGGTCGGGAGCTAGAGGATCATTTCTCAGAAAAGCCACCCTGTGCAGTATGAGATAAAGGTTGAGGTTTATGCGTGTGGACAGCCAGAAAGCCCCAGTACACAGACAAATAAAGGCCGTCATACTCAGGGCAGGGGTTTTTCCAGAGCAATCTATTCTTTCATACCATTGGCAGCTTTTCAGATCTAAGAGCCAAAACAACTCTGATAATTCATTTAACGATCCAGTCTCCCCGTCCTTTTAATCCAAAAGGGGTTGGAAGCTTTAACTTTTAACCAGAATCGTACTTATTAAATTCATGTAAAGTCATCTACTTTACCGTTTAGCACAATTGGGGTGTTTTTTCTCAAATTGTCACCAAGTTTGGCCATCAGTCACAAGGAGCTGGGCGCCTTTGGGGCTCTGATCTAAACTCGCAGTCCATCTCAATGGAGCTAGCGACTAATTTACCACAAACCAACAGTTCTTGCACAGTCTCCCTGAACAACTCGTCGGTAATTAGCATTCAGTAGAAGCCCATTACTGCCTCCCCATAAATCGTTGACACTGCTCAAACTTACTTCTCTAAACCCCCACCGGCAGGCGCAGATACATGGGCCCCAAATAAGCTCCAGCACGGCAGCCAAGGTCTGCAGCAGAAAAAAAGTATATCCCAAGTCTCACACGGGAGTCTCTTTTAAGCATTTCTTTTCACAGAAGCATTGTATTTTGTTTTGAGGGCATCTGACGGCCAAATAAACTAAAGGAGAGTGGAAACAATGTGAGGATCCTTTCAACTCTGCAGACCTGGAACATGACAATATGTGTCTTAATTAACATTCATCTCTTTACTTCAATTATTTCAAAAATTGTTGGCACTCTCGTGCCATGCTGTGTGAGAAAACAGATGCATAACCTGCTCCCTGATAGCTAATCCTGTCTGATTGGGCTGGGGTTGGGTGAGGGGTACAGATAGATGCGAAGGAAATCAGAATTACATACGTCACCTCTGTGTTCATATGGGTTGCTATGTAAATACAGCATACAAGTAGATCAGCTATAAGCTATGTAATGACAAGCATCGCAACTAAATTAAAACAAAAAATATATTCTCTACTTTGTGACCTTTTATTTGAAGAATAAGTACATATTTTTCTTACTCAGCTGGAGCAACTGTAAGGAAAAATTACTCTCAACTCTACTATCAGATGAGAGGGTTTTAGTCCATACGCAACTTTCTATAAGAAAGTAGATAAAATCTTGTGAATGGGTTTCCATTCATTCTCAGTTTTAGGACTTAGAACACTGTAGGCAGCTGCTAAACGAATGAGTGATTTACACAGTTAAGTCCCAACCCGTAGACGAAGAGTCTTTATATGACAGCTGTAATATTTTTAGTAAACGTCTGCTAACTGAAGTGTGTATCTTGACCAAAAAAAAAATGCTATGCGAACTCTGGTAAAGTGTTTCAATATATATTTGCATTTTATTCATCATAACAGCGTCTACATTTGCAAACAGCAATACTGTTGGGTGGAGAAAACCCTTTGTTCTCTAAGGCTCCGTACAATACTTGGGGTGTGCACAGAATTCTTGCCTGCCTGAGAGATGTCCAGAGACCCTAGAAAGGGACCCTCCACAAGTGTAGACAAACACCATTTGGAAATGAAGGTACTGGGTCAGGAAATACTGTTGTCTTGCTCATTATCATGCAAAGTAAAGTTATAGAGCCACTAAAGTTTTAGAGCCACTAAACCTGGGATAAATCCCAGGTCAACAAACTACTGGAGTGGGCTGCTTCTCTCTTAAGCATCAGAGACAGGTCAGAAGACCTTCAGGACAATGCAGAGATATGAAAGAACTTTGTAAAATGCAGTTCTTGAGTTGAGATGCCAGGTAGGTGCACCTCAATCTAATTATCCCCAAAGCACAGTCCTTGTTGACCAATTCCATATCAACTGATTGTTGATATAGAAATTATTCTGGCAATAAAACTACTAGAATTACCCAACCAGTACACATGAGAAACCCAACAAGAGACTTTCCAATCTAACTTGCTTTATTATTTATCGACATGGTTTAAAGAATAAATTGAGTTTACTGACCAGCAGTGTGCATAGTTAACATAAAAAGTGGAGTATCAAATATTGTGTTGACAGTCTTTTTTTAGGCCAACTCGTTTTCTTACCAAAGAATTTCTCCTGAATATGGGTCATTTATCCTCCTTGTTTTCTACAGTAATTGAGTTTGTCCCAGCATTGGGTCAATGTGATTGCATTTAAATTAATTCAAGATGTTATTTACATCTCATTCATATTCAACGGCTTAATTTCTTTGCTTTCTCTGACGGGCTGATTGCAATTGCAGTTGGCAGAATTCAATGATATATCCCCAAGGCCACTTTCTCACCAGATATCATACAACCATGACAACATAAGAATGTAAATGATTTCATCAGCCTTACTGTGCCCGCTCTAATTAGAAAATCCTTTACTTAGAAAATAACCTCCATAAAGTCTCAATTACCCAGGACACATGCTGTCACCTACCTCTCAACAATGATAAAACTGAACCTCCCTAGAAGAGTATTTATATTTCAATTTAAATTACAGTATTTGTACAGTTTTCTTATCCTCCAATGGGATCCAAAATTCCTTGAGGACAAAAACTGTGTTTTACATTCATATTTTTAAGGAGCCTCAAGATGAAAAGAAAAAGTACGGGATTTTGGAGACACATATAGATGGTCGCCGGCTTATGGTTCAACTTAGGATTTTTCGACTTTACCGATGGTGCAGAAGCAACACGCATTCAGTAGAAACTGGACTTGGAATTCTGAATTTTGATCTTTTCCCAGACTGGCGATATGCCCTATGACACTCTGTCATGAGGCCAAGCAGTGGCAGCGAGTACAGATCCCAGTCAGCCACACGATCATGAGGGTAAACACCCTATATGCTTACAGCCATTCTGTACCCATACAATCATTCTGTTTTTCAGTTTCATTACCGTATTCAATAAATTACGAGATATTCAACACTTTATTATAAAATATGCTTTGTGTTAGATGATGATGCCCAATTGTAGGCTAATGGATGTGTTCTGAGCATTTAAAATATGCTAGGCTACGCCAGGACGCTCAGCAGGTTAGATTTATTAAATGCATTTTCCATTTATGATATTTTCAACTTATGATGGTTTTATTGGGGCATGACCCCATCATAAGTCAAGGAAGATCTATATATCTGGACTCTGTCACTTATTTACTTAGTGGTCCTAACCAAGTCACTCATACCTTCTGATGCTCAGTTGTTTCCTATAAAATGGGATATCTCTACTTCAAAGAGTTGTAAGGATCAAATGAGATTATAACAGTAAAGAACATGCGTTTTCACTAAGTTTTAGTTTAAATGTTAACTGTAAATAAGGTTTCCCTTTCATTATATTTCTCTCCTATATTATAGACACTGAAAGATTCTTATCTTTATCTCAAGAGTAATAGCTTGATTTTCAAAACAGAGACACGGCAAAATGAAAAGAAGTTCCAAGGAAATCATACTGAGACAGAAAGAGGAGGATTTGTTTTGCTTTTCTGCTCCATTGTTTGACCACCAGAGACTAGTTTTTAACACTGTTAAACACCATTCTTGGGGAAAAAAAAAATAAAAAAAATATATATACAGACAAAAGGCAGCAGGACCCATGATGCAAGGACAAGCCTATCCTGGATAATTTCAGCCTGAACAGTGACAATTTCATGTAGTTCAAGTTCTAGCATTAGGTGAAAGTCAGAAATGATCAAAGTCTTCCTCAAAAACCTATTAGAAGGCGCCATGTCATCCCTCTAAGTTCAACAGAAACAGCTCTTTGCTGGAGAACATTGTTACCTCGGTCGGGCACCAGAAGAAATGGTTGGCTTGGGCTTCCCTGGTGGCGCAGTGGTTGAGAGTCCGCCTGCCGACGCAGGGGACGTGGGTTCGTGCCCCGGTCCGGGAAGATCTCACATGCCGCGGAGCGGCTGGGCCCGTGAGCCATGGCCGCTGAGCCTGCGCGTCCGGAGCCTGTGCTCCGCAACGGGAGAGGCCACAACAGTGAGAGGCCCGCGTACCGCAAAAAAAAAAAAAAAAAAAAGAAATGGTTGTTTTTCACTGAGAGGCCATGTTGTACAGAGACAAAGGTCTTAAAAGCACAGCTCACATCCACGTGTAAGATGCACTCAGTGTGAGCCCCAGGGAGGGAAGCGCACATTCACGTCCAGCCTCATGCTCACTCAGGGCTGTTACACTCACTGAGTGTAGAACCACCTGAGGTTCAAATTATTGTTTTTCTCCCTATCTCCCTCCCTGTTGTATTTTTTTAATAGAGCCTATGAAGTTGAATTCACATAAAATAGGCATGAAGTAGGAGCATGGTACAATGGTGGTCATAAATCAGAAACCCAGGGTGCCACCATTCATAATACCACCTTACTTTAAAAATAATAATATTTTTTACTTCTTATCTACCTTAATTACCTTGATTTATTTAAAGAAAAGCTCCGCATGCCCCTCCGAAAGTTCTGATATGCCCCATTATGTCATCCTACTATCTAAGGGGGAAAAAAACCCAGACAACAACCTAGAAGTCCAACAAATGAAATTACCTGTATTATGATATACCCACATGTAATACAAAAAGAGAAAAAAATTCTCAAAAACACTTCAGGATAGGAAAATAATAGATTTTCTGACCAAAGTAACGTATTAAAGAATTATGTTGTCAAAGCCTCCACCAGCATTTAGGATTGCTACAGATACAGGTTCTACTTAGCTGATTCTCTTAAGGAAATAAAGATCCTTGATGGACCTCTTTTTGTCTTAAACACTGAAGTTCCTGGGCATAACCTGAAAGGAAAGAATTAGGACAAATTCACTAAGTTTTTCTGAATGATACATTATGAAGAATTTTGAATTTGTCCTGAAGAGGCAGCTGTGGATAGTAAATGTAAGGGTCCCTGGAGGTGGAAGAAGCAAGGTTATGGGCCATAAGTCTGGACAGAGAAAGGATGGAGGGGGAGGAAAGTATCTTGTTACAGCCTGAGGAGAAAAAAAATTCTTCATAGTAGGAAGAGCTGAGGCACCTAGGGAAGCAACATCAATGATTACATTTGAAGTTTTTTCTGATAATGTTCCAATTTTAATTTTTCCAAGCCTTCAGAAAAAGTTTCTTACATGATATGGACTTATTCACAAACTTTTTTTTAAATCAATTTTAACATCAAAGTTCAACCTATTGTTCTATAGACTTTTGCGGTCATTCACATGTAGATAAGTTAAAATAGCAAAGAATTTAAATCGTTTTAATATAAGTGTTATCAAGCCTACAGTTCTGAAGCTGAAATTCACACAAAATGTGATGGATAATCCTGTTTGTTTGGGTTTTTTTTAAAGGGTGGGCTCATCTTGTATATGCTACTGGAGTATTGCTGCTTCTAGGCCCTCTCAACTGACACAGCAATGAAATATGTGTGTCCTAACCTAGGTATGTACACGTACCTACAAATATTTCCATACGCAACCATGTGTATCTATTTTAACTAATCATGAGTACATAGTGATGTCCACATCTCTCATTCATTAGCACATGGATCATTCTGGCCTCCTCCCCTTGCTTCTCTGTAAACTCCCACTCCAATAGTGAAAAACCTGACACCTGCTCTCCATCATCCATTGACTTACTTATTTCCAGTATATATTAATAGTGGTATCAGAAATGTTAACCTGTACCCCTATGGGAAACAACTTTCTCACCTAGAAGACATGCTTATGTACAGTTTCTTTTGCTTTTATTCTACTCATTTCCAAAGTTACTGAGGTCTGCACCCTGCTCCCATCCTCTACAGTGAGGTTGTTTCCAAAGTTTTTAGTACAATTAGGTTGTTTTGCTACATTTTGCATTCCATCACAGGATCCTCCAACCTCTTAATTTTTTATTTGCACACATTGAAGTTTCCTCTCTGTGCCATAAAGTTCTATGGGCTTTGACAAATGCAGTGTCATGTATCTACCATTACAGTATCATAAAGAATATTCACCACCCTACCCCACAATGACAGGAATATGTAGAAAGGACACAGAAGCCAACTGAAAGAGTCCCTCATCACCAAAGCTAGAACACTCTGAATAAAGTAGTACTAGGTGACTACCCAAAGTGTAAAATAAATATCCATGAATTTATACTGACATAAATGACTGAATAAATAAGTGAGAGGGATAAAAATCTCCCATGGAGAAGAATTCCAA